TTCTGCCCACGCCAACCCCCCACCTCCCTCCCCCGCGGCTTCTGGAAACCTCGTAGGCAGGATTTCACATTACGGTCCCCGGTTCTCTAGGGCGTGGAAGAAAGTGGCAAGAATCCTTAGAAAGGGTAGCGATATTCCGCAGGCTGCTTTAGAAGAGGTACCGCAGAGAGACACGGACACCAGGTCACTTTGCCCAGCCGGCCCCGGGCAGCACACGCAACTCCTTCAGCAGCGAGTCAGCAACAGCAAGAGAGCACACACTCCCTGATTCTGAACCGATAAACCTACATCCAAGTGTACAGCATAAGCTTTAAACCATATTTACTTCCTCCCTGATCTGAACTTGCCTCCTCAGAATCACAGATTTGCCTCGATTGGAAAAGACCTTTAAGATCATTGGGTCCAGTCATTAACCTCACACTGACAAGTCCCTGACTAAACCATGTCCCTAAGCACTGTGTCTACACGACTCTTAAATCCCTCCAGGGATGGGGACTCCACCACTGCCCTGGGCAACCCCTTCCAATGCCTGAGAACCCTTTCAGTAAAGAAATTATTCCTAATATCCAATCTAAAAATTTCCTAATCATACAATCCCCTCTCACTGCTACTGTTGCCATGAATTCAGGTCAGCGCATTCTAATCACTGCCTGCCCAGCCTGGTGTTACATTGTGGAACAGCTTCTGTGACCAGCGTCTCTACAAGCACCTGCCCTGTTTCTTCTCAGCACCTCTAGCAGTCCTCATAGGAATTCCTGGCGAACAGCGTTTAACAACCACTAACCTGAAGCTACCATGAGGGGATGTTAGTTGGTCTAAAGTACAGCTGAATATCCACATAAGGAATCCATCAGCCACTTAAAATTCATTAGGTATCTTTACGTTCAACCTCGAGTGTCCCTCAGTACTTAGAAGCTGCTGAAAAGCACTTGGCTATGGGGATGGTATAGGACCTTAGTGGCATACCAAAGCTAAACAAGGTGTGCCTGAATTTAGTCTAAATGCTCAGTAAAGCTGGATTTATTAAGCATAAGCATAATCGGAGGTGAATCCAGGACAGCAAAGCTGATCTTAGCACAGAGAATGGAGTCAAAGGTAGTTTCATGCCAAAACAGAGCTGGGGAAGGTGACAGTAATAGGATCCCTCCTTGGCATAATGACCGGTCAGCACCCCTGCTCCAGAGGGAGAAGTCCTCAGCAGAAGAGAGTCAAACATTTCTCCTACTCCAGCAAACACCTTAGCCACAAATTACTGAACTGCTTGAGGGAAGCTACACTCCATCTTTCCTGGAAAGTAATATAGCCCAGAGTCACAGGTTAAAAATAGCAAGAAGGGAGAGCGCGTGATTGTACAGCCTAATGGTTAGGCTGTCAGACCCCCTGCAAAGCAGGGGAAACCTGGGCTGATGGTGCACTTCCAGTGACTGCTGCTCTTTATCCACTACTATCCTGAGAAACAGTCCACCAGCCCGAGCACAGAGCTCTGACTATGCCACTTACACTTTGCTTATGTCTACAGTGCAAAAAGGCAGCAGCAAAACTGCCCTGTTGAGATGAGTGGTAGGGAGACAGGAACGCCACTAGAGGGACTGTCAGGGAAAGCCATTAGGATTACAGCAACACACAATGAAAATATTGGTGAAAAACCTCGGTATTTGCCTAAAAAACATTCAACCATGTTCCTCTTTAAGAGCAAAAGAATAAAATAACCCAATTCCAAAAGGTTACCTGCAGCAGTATCTTCCATGGCACTTTGTCCTGAATCAGTTGACCCAAAGGCAGCATCTTCCAGCAGCGATCCCCTTTCACTATCGTACCCTTCTTCGGCTTCTCTAGTATCCGAGAAGTTGGCCTCTTCATACTCAGGTGCAACATTAACAGCTGTCTCCTCCTTCTCCTCAATAGGCTGTTGTAACCTCTTATCTTCAGGCTGCTGAAATTTCTGATTGCTCTCATCAATGGCATGTGGGTTTCTGATGGAAACTCTGTCAGATTCAGCCTCCTTTGCACCATCTATGACAGACAGGGAGACATGAATTAAGCACTGAGCTAATGTGTATTTCTTATCTGCAGCTGTATCCAGTGAAATATTGCATCTGACAAAGCTTTCTTGATGCTTTTTAAACACTTCAGCTTGTGTATATATTCTCAATCAACTTTAGTGACATCTAATTAAATGTTTATATGGAATTTATGCAAGGTATCAGCCACTGACCTTGCAGTGAAATATTTTAATCATTCATGGCTTTATCAGAAATCACACACCTAACATGTATTATTGCAAAAGGAGCCTTGCCAAGAGCATATTTTACCATCTTGCACATTAATTAGAAAAAACAGCAACTTTGCAGCAGACTCCACTGCTGGTTCTTCCTTCCCTCATCAAAAGATGTTTGTTCAGTATTTCTACTTAGGCACTCTTTTATGAACACGGGCAAAGTTAGGTGCATGGATCTAGTGCCTGCATGTTGTGTTAATCACTGGATATCTCATAATTAGGTGCTAGCTAGTTCAGAAAAAAAAGACTGCTCTAAACCCTCTAAAAAATTCAGCACATTAGTGTACATGAATCCCTATTTCTTGGGAGGGGGAGGTATAGATATGACCTGAATGGCTCCTTCGAGCTGTATCCATGCACAGATCCCACTTTCTTGCAAGAAACTTGGCCTGTAAGAACAGACATGCTGAGCTCAACATTTTTTTCTCAGGATTTGTCCCTGGGACACCCATCACAATGCCAAAACCACACTAAAAATAAACAAAATCCCAGCGGACTCCACAGGGCCTCTTTCAATTCTACTCCCTCACCCTTTTCTTAAAGCTTCTCTAGGTTAAATAGTGTTGTCTGGGATAGGGTTTTACTATTTATTAAATGGTTTTTTACTATTTATTAAAGGGTTCCATCTATTTATTAAGTGGTTCCATCTATTTATTAAATGGTTTAATGTCCTACCTTGAAGGTGCAGCTGATCATCTTCCTGTTCTAGAACAGATGCAAGTGGGACGCTCTCACTAGCAGATGAATATTTACTCCTTAAAGAATATATTAATTCTTGAAGATCATCCATCAGTGCACTCTCCTCATCGTACAAATCCATTTCTTTCACCACCTCCTCTTTATTTTCTGCCACTCTGGAATCCAGAACTTTTCCCACAACATCCATAATGCTCGATTCTGAAAACTCAAGTATCTGGTCCAAGGCTGCTTCTGTATCTTCATTATTATGGCTTGCCTTCCGAGCAAGCTCCATCTCTACCTTCATGTCATGAAACATGGCTTCTATCCTAAACATCTGCTGAAGCCCAAGGTACTTTTGTAAACGTATTATACGCTTTTCATCGAGAAAATTTCTCATTATTGTGAGCCGCTTCACAGAGTCACTGAAGTCTGTTACAGTATCATTTGTGGCTGCTGAACTGTCAGCAGGGCTGGGGAAACGTGCAGATTGCTGGTGGTCATCTCTTGTATGCTCCGAATTTTGCATCTCTTTTGAGTTTTTCTGTGAAATGCCCTCTGGGAGATGATCTATCCTTTGGTTAAAGTTGTCGTCTTCTGTGTCAGGAGATTGGAAATTATGACCTTCCACAGCTGATGGTTCCTCAGTTTCAGAAGACTCCTCATCATCTTCCATGACATGTTCCATCTCATCCCATTTAGCATCTTCATTCACTGGTACACCAACTTCTTTGTTCCCAGTCTCGCTTGCATCTTGCACGCTGAACATTTTTTTAGTCTCTTTAGAAAATGAGTTTGCTTCCTCTCCTGTTTCATAAGTAGGATTTGCAGTTCCCAGAACAGCTTCGCTTAGTACTTCTAATTCAGGGTTTGTACTTTCAACATGTAGTGTATCACCCTGTACATCTGCAGCCTTTGCTTGTGACAGCTTTGCATTTGCAGCATTCTCATCTTCCAGTAGCTCTTCCTCTTCTTGTTTCAGGTCAGGGTCTTCTTCAGCATCTGGCTCCTCAGATTGCAATTCTGGTCTGAGTGGTTTTTCTTTAGATAAATTTGTGCCAAGGTTTCTGTCAGAATCTGCATCCTGAGAACGAGCAGTTCCTCGCTGAGTAAGATTCTCTGTATTAGTATTCTGTGTAGTGCTTTTTGATTTTTCTTCAGGGGAACTCTTCTCAATGCTTTCTTCAAACACTGGCATCTTGCCAAGATTTCTTGAAAGCTCTTCTCTCATATCTGCCTCTGAATACTCATTTTCCCATGGCCTAGGTTGCTTGAGGGCTCCTCTATGGCTTAGGTCTCCCTCCCCTGCAGGGGTTTCTTTCACATTTCCCCTTTTTATTTCAGGCTCTTTGATAAGAGAGGTGGTTTTTTGATTTTCATGATTGGTCTCCCCTGTTTGTTTCAAATCATCTTCATGTCTTAGAATCTCTTTCTCCACAGCAGGCATTCTATGCTCCAGTTTCTCTTTTAAGAAATCAGTATCTCCTAAGTCACTTTGAGATGCATTTTTTACCTCTTCCACCAGTCTGGCTGGAACATCAACAGAAGGCTTGTCCTCAGCTCTTCCTTTCTTCTTTGTTTTCTCCCATAACGTTTTGTGCTTTAAATCACTTTCCAAGACCTCTTCCAAGGTGTCATCTTGAAACTTTTTCTCATCTTCGTCTATTTGAGCAAGTGGCACCTTTTCTGGACTTTTGTTGGTATCACCAACAAGTGGTTTTAAAGCATCTTGCTTGCTTTCAACCAGTGATTTGGACTCCAGATCATCTCCTGGACTAGGCAAAATGTGAGGATCAGGCACAGCTGTACTCTTCAGCTTTTCAGTATGTGACTCAGTTCCATCAACTGCAAGCTGCTCTTTAAACTGTCCAGTTTTGTTTGGTTTTTCTTTTGAATCCAGATCACCTCCACCTACAGGTTCCTTTCCAAGTTCTTTGGAGAAATCCTCAAGTTGAGTTTTTGCTGGTGCTTCTCTTTTACTAAGTAGCATCACCTCATCCTGTTTCTCTTTTGTTTGTTGAGATTTGAGCCTCTCCACACTTATACTATCGCCCGACTTCTTGCTCTTAATGAAGGCATCCTTAAGAATTAATGTATCTGAATTTGGTTCTTCCTCATTGTCTCTTTGGTTATTTAGCTCTGTAGCACCCTTTGCATCTTCATTAAGTTCATGATTTTGTGACTCAATGTCATTGTTTTCATCATCATCTAAATCCACTGGGGATATAATTTCTTCCTCTGCTGTAAAAGACAGTAAAGGGATTTCTTCAGACTGATCTGCGAAGTCTGGCTCCTCCTCTGCATCATGAGTATTAATGCTCAAATCTTCATTAAAATCATCTTCCAGCGATGTAACAAGGCGAGTCACCTCATCATCTGATACAACAGCATCAGCAGTTGAGCCAAATTGTGTTTTCAGTTTCACAGAAAGGTCTCTGTTTAAAAGTGTATAGGCATTGACTTCTTCGCTTTCTTTGTCAAGTTGACTGGTTTCACCCTGAGGAATACTAGTGTTTTTGGTATTTTCACTTTCTAGCCCTTTTAGTTTCCCGTGTAGCATTCCTTTCAAGTGCTCATGTGCAATCTGATCTCCCTGAGAGTTTTCTTTGTGACTATTGACACTGGAGTCTCCCCTAGTATTTTCAGTTCCTTCTGCAAAAGAATTGTCTACTACTTTCTCTTTCATGGTGAAGGCTTCCTCATCTTCTTCTGTGCTTAGCTCGAGATTGTCTGTATCCAAGGCATCAAGGGACTTTCCTGTATCGATCTGTTCAATCTCCTCATCCCTTTTAATTCCTTCAGCTGCTTTTGTCTCTGGATCACTCAATTCAGTTTCCCCTTCATCTGCTATTGTCTCGTGCAATGATTTCAAAAGCTCATCCACATTATAATTATCAAAATCATCCCTTCCTCCATCAAAGCAAACAAAGTCTGTTTCCTGAAATGAAAAACAGTATGTAGTCACAGATATTTCCTTTATTACAGAGATGATACCAAATCCATTTGGTTGGTTATAGAGAGGTGCAGCAGCGAAGTAAATTATATTAATCGTGCAGAATTAACTCCGGGGTCCTTAACCAAAACTCTCTTTGCAATCAGTGGAAGTTTTGCCCAAGGACTCTTAAAAACCAATATAAAAAGCTCAAGGGTTAGCCCCACCAAAGACCTCCTAGTGAGGAACAAACTGGAGGTCAGCAATGGAGTTGACAGTATTATAATTTATTCATCACATACATCCTGAACTAGGAACAAGCCTATTGGTGAATGCCAGCGAGGAGAAGAAAACAAGCGTCACTAAACTTGTTTGTCCCAGTCTGTTTTAGCTGGTTTCTCCTCAAATGACCAAGTTCTCCAAGCAGGAGCCTGTCACACAATTTCTGAAAAATAAACAGCAGTGCAAGCCACTGAATACAGTTTTGTAAGGGTCTGAAGCTGCATCCACAAACAGGCCTTGCTCACACAACTTTGGAGTTACCAGCTATTAGTGCATGAAAGCCACTTATGTGTGTAAGGGTTGAAGGACCAACTCTAGAACCAAAGGGCTAACAGCGTATTGGGGTTTGTTTGTTTCTGATAATACTTTAAACTTCTAAAGTTTGAGAAAAGAAAGAATTCTGAATACATACCAAACAGCGTATGTGCGAGCCAGCTAGCAGCATTTCTAGAGCTCAATCCAAACAGATTTTGTTAGAAGAAAACCAGAATATTCAAGAAAAGAAAGATCAACACCCACATTTTGGGCTGACACTTACACACCCATCCACATACCTATCTGCACAGAAATTCCACCCCCCAACACATATGTCCATCTCTGCACATATGTAGCTGCTTACTAACAAAAGGTAACTAAGGATCACTGATGTTCCCATTCTCCCCCTCAAGGATTTGATTGAATGCTGAGCTAAGAAACAGTAAGCAGCTCAATTTAAAAAAAATCATAAATAAGACTTACATCTGTTGGTAACTCTAGCTCCTCATTGGAATAATTATGATTTATTTCAAGTAAATCCTTTGGAAAATATCCAAAATCACTTCCAACCTGCCAGAAAGCAAACACAAGCAAACAAAAAGCAGTAAAGAAGCTTTCAAAATTACGTGACTATGTTAAAATCCTAATTACAGGCACTAGTAACAAACACATCAAATTCACTCAAGTGTTTCTAAATGAAGTTTAACACAGTTAATAAAAGAAAAGCATTAGCAATATCTTGTTTATGCAAGAGTTTTCATTGAGGTTTTATACTTACATTTCGCAACACCCTTGTGAAGTTGCTAAGTTTTACTGTTCACGTTTTAAAGCCTGAATTACAACAAATTATTACGAGAGCTGGGAGTGAAGCCCAAGCACTCTGGCTCATGTGCTTTAACTGCTATTTTGTGCTCTCACTGGCACCACATATGCTTCAAGTATTTTCTCAAGTAGTAAGCAGAAGAGGATCTTTGACTAATGAGATTTATATCCATGCACAATATTATAGCCTGAAATACACTCACTTTTCAGCTTAAGAAAAAAAAAAAATTCTTAAAGCAGATTTTAGGAAATTGTAAAATTGTACCCATGGTAATAATCTATTTTAAAACCTGCATGGAAAATAAACACCCTCTGCAAATGCATTGTTGCTCTTCAATGACTAATACAAGCAGAAATCAGTTGCAGGTGGCTGTTTTCAAGCAAGTCAACATGCTAAACCAAGGCAAACAGTGGAAGATAAGAATCTCTTATCACTCACTGGATAAGATCTACACAGTAATGCTCTCACTGGAGAGTTCTGACAACAGCTGTCAAGAAGCCAATATTAATAGCATGCTATCACTATGCAGATTAGATAATCCAGGCAATTAGAGCCTGGTAGACACACCTAGAAAGGTAGACAGTTCCTAGATGACTAAAATACCCGGGGGGTGGGAAGTGTTGGTCACTTCCTCAATGTTTTGTTATAGGAGGAAGATGAGAATTGCCAATTTTCTTGAAGAGTTTGTTTGGGAAGAGCACTAATTTAAAGATCAAATTAGAAAGGAAAACAGTCATGTCAAAACAATTAGAGATATATAGATATATGTATGGTTACATTGATATCACTGAAATAGGGTGACCTGTGCTGAAGTCTTCTAGATTTACAATGGCATTAAAAAAAAAGAAGAAAATGGTATCCAGCAAATAATATGTACTAATACTTTTTTTGTTGTTATGCAAGTCAAGTAAGCACTGATACATTATAAGGCTTCCTTTTTAACTATTTCTCATTCAAATCTTACCTTCCATTGTTGATATCTCTGAATTTAGTTACATACATATATATATATAAAACAGCCACTATTACCTCCCTGCCTTTTGTAAACAGAGATACTCTCTTAGGGAAAAGAGATAAAGTATGCAGGTTTATTATTGGGAAATTAAACTGGACAAGTCAAATCAAAAGCTTATCCTTGCGTGGTATACTACAGTTTTATTTTAAATTGGCCTGTTTCTCTCTACAAACTTCTATTCTAGTTTTAAATAATCTTTCTGAAAACAAAATCCAAAGCTTCAAAGTAGCCTCCTTACAGACTAATCTCTGTGACTACCATTATAATTAGGCATCATAATTTAAAACTCATTTAGTGTAATCCAAGCTGCTGACCATACAAGTGCTCTGCAGTGACCCAGTTTGCCACTTGTGTGGTTTATGAGCCATATGGGATCTGCAAGCCCAAAATTTCATCTGCTCCTCTCCCTACAAGTCCTCTCTTGTAAGGGAAAAAACGCCTCATTGTGCAAATAGAGGAAACATTCTTCATTCTCTACAGACAGGAGAGGAAAGGCATTATGAATGCCAATAAGGGCATTTCCACTCCCTTCCCACATAAAATGCCATGGGTGGGCAAAACACGTAGCTGTGTGTACAGCATTTGTCTGCACCAGTGCCCACGTGTGGCAGATTCACCAACCACCACTGACCAAGAAGCCAGATCCTCACACCACCTAGCTCGGTGACAGAAAACAGAAGATGGTCATCATAGAATTGTCCAAGCATTTGGCTTTGCTTTATTCATGAGGTTTAGACAGTTCTGCTAAAAACTGCATGCCATATAATGCATAGAATATATACTATAGCCGGGTTCTAGAATTTTTTCACATGCAAAATAATTGGTGGGATCAATGGGAGTTCTGCAAGCAATAAAGTGTACAAGACTGGGATCATAAAACAAAGGATCTATTTATTTAAAATATAGCATGTTTGCTGGCACAAAGGAAAAAAAAATATTAACAATGGCTTGAAAGAGGCAGAGTGAATTAGAAAAGCAAAAGCAAATAAAGCCCAGACCCGACTGCTATAGATTTTTCAGTCTTTCTTATCAGATAATCTCCCTTCAGGTCAGAAACACTATTGTATTTCTTATGGCTCCTCAAAATCAATCTCAGGATTAGAGCCTGTATTTACAACTTGTTTGAAATAAGCCTCAGGTTGCAGTAGTTGAAGCTTCTCATACACACTGCCCTTATCTGAAGATCAGAATACTAGTTATCCTTTGATTTCATAGTTTCCATTATACCCTAATAAATACTTTCCCAAAAAACTTTAGGGGATAGAATAAGGTAGCAGGGTATGGGGATCAAATGATATACACGAGCACACATAATTCACGTGATGAGATCCCAAAAGGGCTTCGGCAGAAGGTAACATGCCTTCTGTTGGAATCTGTTTGATCGCAGACCTCACTAGGTAACCTGTTTTTAATTAGCAAGCAACAGCCTCCCCCTAGCTCCAAGGCTGCATGCAGCAGGCACGGCTGGTCTGCATAAATCAAGTTGCCCAGCCAAATCTGGCATAGGAAGTCATGTTGAATGAGAAAGACCCCAGTGCCATCTGCAAGTCAGGGACAGGGTCAGACATGCCAGTGCCCTACTCAATACACAAGGGGAGGCGCTCCAACCCTGCTGCAGTATTTGCATGCTGGTTGTTGCAGTGTTACAATTAATGCAGAAACAGTCAATCAAACTGGGGAAAAAAGAAATAAAGATTATAGCCACCAACTGGAAGGAATTAGTCTGTCATCACTGCCCTAAAAGAAACATAGAAAACAGTGTAACACAGTTTAAAAATGACAACAAATAAAAGGGAGCTTTGCAATTCTTTTAGACCTGCCACATTCAGCTTTTACTTGTTAAACTCAAAGCAAACATCCTTTTAACGTGGAGACACACCTAACTGTAGCATGAGATTCCTATCAGTGAATAGTTAAACTGAATATTAACTCAGCAATTACCTTAAACCTGCCGTCTGATCTTGCAGCCTGCATTACACTTTGTTAGATGATGCAAAATTGGCCTCACACTGCTGCTCCCCATCTCAAGAACTGGCAGCCCTGGAAACCTGTACCAGCTAATTAACCAGATTATTTATGGTACAGTACATGTCAGAAGGGAATTACCAGCATGATACAATTATAAACTCTTCTTTAACCATGTGCTGCAGTTTTCTGCTCTCTTCTCTACAATTCTAATTGGGTTCAGCTCCCGCTGAGAGCTTGGCTGTCCACACCCAGCCTGACCAGGTTAGAGAAAGTGATACATCCTGCTTTTCACCAAACCACTAGTCCCACAGTCAACAACCAGCTGTGGCTTCCAGCAGCCTCGACCACTGCCTGTCTCTTGTAGAAGAACAGAGTAAGAAAGGAGGTTGAAATAAATAATTTGGACACAAAAAGGTATGTAGGGGAAGCATGGGGAGGGGGTTACAGGGACTAGGTCTAAGCAACCTCCAGACTGCCAGCATTTTCAAGGGAACTCCACAAAAATTGCTCTTCCTCCAGAGTATCTCAGTTCTGCTTCTGTCAGGCAAATAAGGTGTTTATCAAAAAAAGCCAAGAGGAGTTTTCTATGAAATAACTGCAAGTATGGGGACCCTCCTTTCCCATTAACCCTCTCCTGACTGCCCAAAGAAGATGACGACTCAGACAAGGCCACTACTGGGCAAGCTGTTGCAATGTGTTACTAAAGCTGAGAGAGACAGACCTGTTAAAAATCGAATTTACTTCAATCCTTAGTTTTACTACTTTTTTTCCCTCCAACTCTGCATGCAGCTCAGATAAAAAGAGGAAGACTGTACCTGAACATTAGGAAAAGAAACATGATTAAAATATGTACAAGGAATGATCTTTAGCAGCATTACAGAGCGCAGGATGAGACCACGTCAGGGGTAAACACAAGCGCAGCATTAAGCCTCCCTAGATGGGAAGGGAGGCTCAGCTTCCAGGCAGGCTCATGGGCCATCACTTACGGTGATGCAATGGGAGCTCTTCAACACAAAGGCAATTTTCTAACTGTTTTTAGCACACTTTATGAGCATTGCCCATTTTTCACAGCACTTAACGCCTTAGGTTTGATCAAACCGCATCCCTTTTCACACTGGTTTCAAGACAAAATGGCATTTATTACGTTATTTAGCTATGTTCAAAGCCCTAAGTGTTCTCCTATGAGGCAAAAGGAAGAAAAAAAAAAGATTACCAACAGAAAGTGCAAAGAAGAGCAAGTAGAACAAATGCTTTACAGTACTTACACTTCCAGCCCAGAGCTCGGTTGATTTTCCTATTAGTTTATAATACACATACACCGCTTCTCCCTTCTTAAAATTTACAAAGCGGCAGTCTGGGCCTTTAAAATCCTGCATTGCCTTCCCTCGGCACATTAACACTGTCCAAAGAAAACAAAAACCAGAGTATTACATTAAAATAATAATAATAAAAGTGTTTCATGAAAGCAGTCTTTGCTAACTGGTAGAAAACAACAAGACCTCCCGGCATACACCGGTTTCCTATTTTCCAGACTGGGCCAAGAGATAAGAAGTTAACTGAAAGTATAACTAAAATAAGAGATTATTTAAAAAAATAAATAAATAAAAGCAAGCTCACTGATCAAGACAAGCACAAGCATCTGACAAAGCACTTGAGAATTACATTTCAGAAGTGCGCTATGAAGCTAATTATTAATATTAAATTAGACGGGCTGAAAGATGTCACCGGTGTCCCAGAGCATCGGCCCTGGAATTATCCAGCACACAAACACCACCCGGAGAGCGCGCTGGTTGCAGGAGGGTTTGCGGGGGGGAGGAAAAAAAGAAAGAAAAAAAAGAAAAAGAAAGAAAAAGAA